GAAGAAAAAATAGCCGCGTGAGGGAGCAATGGCGGCGTGAGGGAGCAATGGCGGCGTGAGGGAGCCATGGCGGCGTGAGGGAGCCATGGCGGCGTGAGGGAGCCATGGCGGCGTGAGGGGACAGGCAGGGCAGCCCTCAGCTGGGTGTGAGGGAAGAGGAACATGATGGAGCCATGGCGGTGTGAGGGGACAGGAGGGCAGCCCTTGGCTGGCTGTGAGGGAACAGGAACATGACGGAGCCATGGTGGCGTGAGGGGACAGGTAGAGCAGCCCTTGGCTGGCTGTGAGGGAAAAGAGTCAGTGAAGGATGTGAGGGTGGCCATGGCGCTGTGTGGGGCAGGAGGGGATGGCAGCCCTCAGCAGGGCATGAGGGAAAAAGGTCGGTGTAAGATGGAGCTGTGAGGGCCTGGGATTTCCACAGCCCAGGGAGGTGCTGCCATCTTCTCGCCCTCCCCTCAGGGCAGCAGAGCTGGGTTGAGGCTCCTCCCTGGGCTCATCCCTGGGCTCATCCTGCTCCTACCAGGAGCCCCCAGCCACTCTCTGCCCTGGAGATGCCGCTGGTGAGAGCTGGGGTGGCCAGGACGGCTGTGAGCAGCCCTGTGGTCTCTAATGCCTCTCTGTCCCCTCAGGTCTCCCTCCTACAGCCCTTCACCTGTGAAGAAGAAGAAGAAGAAAAGCTCCAAGAAGCGAAAAAGAAACAGGTATTTTTCCGTTGAAAATGTAATTCCCTGCTGGCAATGGGTGTTGGGGGCTTGGAGAAGGGGTGGAAGGCACTGCTACCTCGGGCAGCTGTTAGTCCCAGTGGGCACAGAGGTATGAGGCTCTGTGAGCACTGAGGAGGCATAGCCAGAGGCCCTCTGGGCTAGGAGGGCATGGAATGGGGTGTCCACCCTGTGCAAACAGAGAAACATGAGCTGTTGGGGTGTGGGGACACAGAGATGGACAAGCCGTGAGGTCTGTGGGGCCTCAGCCTGCTGTCCTTGCTGGCCTAGTCACATCTCCATCCTCTGGAATGCCAGTGGGATCAGTGCTCAGGGCTTGCTTGCACTGCCCCCATCCCTTCCTCCCCAGCCTGCAGAGAGTGTCAGGACCAGGAAAAGGCTCAGACCAACTTCCCACGCCCACATCCCAGTCTTCTCTCCCAACCCCAGTGACTGTTTCTACCTTCCCCTTCTGAAGTCCGTTTTTAATTCAAAGAGCATGATTAAATTTTTAAATTGCAAATATTTCACTGTTTTCTCTCAGCTGTTAAACCAATATTTGAAGAGAACAGTGGATTCCATCTCCCTAAGAAGGTTCATGTATTTATAATATATTGAACCAAAGAGAGAAGCTACCAAAAGTGGATAATAGGGTGAAAAGTTGAGCTTGAATCTCCAAAGAAGAGCAAGGGAGAAGGAGAGACAATGATATAGAAACTCCTTTAAAACAGTTTCTTCCCAAGGAGGGATTCTTATGCTCTTTTGTGGATGCCATGTCCTGATGGAAGTCCTGGGTCAGAGACTCTTTGGCTTTGAACCTTTGGTAGCCATTTATGCCCCTGCTAGCCAAGGATAAGCTGGAGCTGGTCCCATAAGGCAGTGAACCATTCAGTATCAGTGACCAGTGGAGGTTGTTGCAGACACCTGGGAACATTTCAGCTACAGACCCCAAGTGACTTTGCCAGAGGCAATCTCACAGCCCCTCCAGGCAGGGCTTCAGGCTGTGTCTTCTGCAGGATGTTGTGCTCCAAGCTGAGAGGAGAGACAGTGGGGTGGGGTGTGCAGTGCACTGGGGCCAGGCCTTGCTGCAGGGACATGTCCTCCATGCCACCAGGGTGTTCTGTACTAGAGAGATGTCATTCCAGGGGTGCTCCAGGAGGCAAGACAGGGCCACAAGGCTGTTTCAGCTGTGAGACTGCTCTGGAGTTACACAGAGGATTTTTCCCTTGACTACTATTTGGTCCTTCATACAGAAAACCAGGGAATGGACCCACCTCTACTTGCAGTGCAAAACTGTAGGTAGTAGCAGAGAAAAAGGACCCACCAGAGATAGGGGATGTATCTGATCTCTCCAAAGATTTGTCCTCCTGAGGACCATATTCTCAATTACTTGTAGAGTGTACTGGTCCCCTCTGCCACACCAGCATTTCTCAGCTGCTCCCTCACCAGCTGGTCAAAGGAGAGGAGGGGCCATTCTGCCCAGGTGCTGCATGAGGTCTTCTCAGTGCTTGGTCTGAGCCTAAACACATTGTTTTGGACTCAAAATTCCAATTTTGTGAGACCCTGTATTCAATGTACATATTTGTGTCTTGCAGGTTATCATCAAAGAAGAGAAGGCACAGGTAAGAGTTGAGCAAGTATGGGTGGTCCCTTGGAAATAAGAGTTTAATGGTCTCTTCAAGGTTGATGTTCACTGAGTGGGGGCAGAAGGCATTTTTTCTGTGTTTCTTTGTGGAATCCCCTTGAGTTCCCCCCCATTCCATGTGGGTCTGGGGTCAGTGACTCCCCAGGTGTGGACTGGAAGAACTCTTTTGATTCCAATATATGTGTATACATTATCAAGAGATACTCATTTTCTCTATGGAAAAAGGCAAAGTCACCAAATTGGCTGATTCCTTTGAGGGCTTTGGCCAAGCCCACAAAGCAGATTTGTCAGCAGGCACTCAGACCCCCTGTGCTGTGACAATCATTGAATCCCTTTCATTTTTACTGCATGCTCTTGGGCAACTGAGCTGTAACGTTGACGTGTGATTGTGCAGCTTTTTATCGGAACAGAAATCTCCGAATTAATTAGCCATTTCTTATTTAGTTCTTCAAGCCCCAAAAGTAAGAGAAAGGAAGAAAGAAAACACAAAAAACAGTAAGTAGTGGTTCATGGAGCTCTCTGCCCTGCCTGCACAGTGTGGGGCTAGAAGTGCTTGATGTGGTGGGGCCCCTGGAGCTAACACCTGCTGCACAGCTCTAAGCATTTCTCAGGATTATTTTGAAGCTAAAACCAGCAATTCTGGTTTTGCTGGAATGGAAAAGGATATGTAGAGGCTGGAGATCTTTCCTCTGCCTTTCTCTTGTGACACTTCTTTCTGTACTTTGTGTCTCTTGCATGGATGTGCAAAGTCTTGCCCACCCTGTCCAGAGAGAAGGCTCCAGCTTTTCTGGTGGGAGTGGCATGAGAGGCTGAGCTCTGTCCTGCCAAAAGGGTAGGCTGGCATACCCTTATTGAGAAAGGCCTCAGCAACTCATGGTTTGCTGCTCTAGGAGGTTGTATTAGGACCTGCTCATGAGATAAAGCACTGCCAAGAATTGGAATGGGGCCTGGGGAAGTCAGGGGATTGTTTGGAGGAGATGGAATTTGCAAAAGTCTGGTGTTCAGGTCTAGCCCTGGCGTGTTAGCAGAGCACAGTCCTTGTCCTGTGGGGCACGTAATCAAGGGGTGTGGCATAAAATGGGATTCCTCAGGACTGGAAGGAAGGACTGGAAGCTGCCTCTGTTTTTCCCTCCATTCTCTCTCTTCAGGGAAGTGCAACCTGTGGCTTCTCACCTGCTTTCAGAGCAAGGAAAAACAGTCCTGGGGCTGAACCTTGGGCACTGACCCCCTGGTCAGCTTTGCTGGGGCTTGGGATATTGCCTGCACAGGCCATCTCCACTGCATGCAGAAAGTCAGTCTCCTTTTCAGTAAGATTTCTGTGCATTAAGTGGTACAGTTTCAGCTCAGTTTCCCCTCAAACTGGGCTGCCCTGCACCTAGAAACCTCAGTGGGAAAAGAGAGGCTTCCTAGGTAACCTGTAAAAGGAGGCATCTCCCCTGCCTAACACAGCAGTACCCTAACAGTGCAGTTAAACCTAAGATCCATGTCCTGCTGGTATTCTCTGACCTCAGGGGAACTGGAGCTGCTGGAATTGCTCCTTGGGGATAAAACAGCCAAGGCGTTTCAGCTTCATCTTTATGCTGGCAAATCAGAGCTCAGCCACTCCCAGTTTCTGCAAACCTTTTGCTCCCAGGCGTGGATCAGATGGATCCCTTGAGGATTTTTGTATAATCACACTGCTTTAACTTATCTTTGCATAAAGCAACTGGTTATCTAAATCACACAGGACCAGTTTTCCCTTCTGCAGGAAGGGAAAATAAATTGGAGGGGCTGATGCAGGGGGTGAAGTGCAAACACGGGGATTTTCACACAAATCCACCATATGAGTGAAAGATGTTCAGCATTGCTGATTTCAGCTGTATGGAAATAAGAAAGGAGGATCCCAAAATGCACAGTTTTAAAAAAATATAATCATTGGGTGTGAAAAGCATCAAAGAAAACAGCTAAGCAGAGTTGAAGGAATTGCCCTGGAGGTTGCCCTTTTGTCTTAAAGGAGATGCTGTTCTCAAGCAATTATTTGCTGAGTTTTTACACCAGCAAATTGCTAAATGCTGTCCAAGCAGGCTGTATTTGTGCTGTCAGTGCCTGTGTAGTGTGGTCATGAAGCCAGGCTGTTCCCACCAGCTCACCCAGTTAGCTTTGCCTGCTGGCACGGCCGTGCCAGCCTGAGCAGATGGAAATGCTTCCAGATCTAAAATAACTGCTGTGGTGAGCAAAGATGGAAGGGATGTGGCACAGAAGGTGGCAGCTAGCCTGCCACCCATGTCACCCTGCTGTCTGCACCCAGGACTTCAGCTGTTGGCATGGTCAGCTATAGTCCTTCAGTAACAGGGCCAGGTAATCCATGAGGAACAGCCTGGTGCTGCAAAGGGAGCTGCAGCAGGGCATTGGCCCTATGTCCCCTACACACGGTTTGCTGAGGACTCTCCTCAGGCCCTGTCAGAAAAGGCAGCACCAGTGACTGGGCACCTGTCAGAAGCCAGGCAAATGCTCCTGCCTCTCAAACAGGAGCTGTGCACGAGGCTGTATTTTGTGCAGCAGCCAGGAGAGCTGCCCACAGGACTGGCTAAATGCTCCCACCTGGAGAGGCTGGGGAAGGCTGGCTGCTACTGAGTGTACTCTCACTTGGAGCTTGTCCTTCAGTACCTGCTCTTCAAGGAGCCAACACTAGGGAGAGGGCTGGAGGTTTGTGATGGGTTGCCCAGAGAGATGATGCTTCTCCCAAGGTTTCCCAAGAGGAAGGTCTTGGGCAGTTGCCTGGCTGTTGTTACAGGGCAGGCTGCAGGATGAAAAGCAAGCACATGGCTCTTTAAAGTCTTGAAAGGATTGATGCTGGCTACTGCACTCCCATGTGCTTGTCCACTAATCTTCCCCCAGCATGCTACAGAGCCAGCCTAATAGCTTGTGTGTAAAATGCTAGCAGAGATCTCAGGAAGATGTCACTACAGCGATGAAGGGATGGAGAATTTCTCATGCCTTGATACACTGTGCCACGTTTCATACACCAGTCTCTTTGGTTTAAAAGGCATACCTCCCTTCTGATTTGAACATTATCCACCTCAGCCTTCAGTTGCTGGCTCTTGCACCCCCCCAACTTGCTAACCTAATGCTGGTTTTCCTTTCTGCTTCTTAAAGCTCTCGTGGGCGCACCCGGAAATCCCATCGGCATCGCCGCTGCCACTCTCGCTCAGAGAGCTCCGACTCCCACTCCCCCAGCTGCCGGAGCAGGTAACGGCATTGCTGCCAAGCTCAGCATCCTCAGCACTTCCTGCTGGGCTCAAGGGCTCAAGGATGAGGCTGCTACTGCCTGTGTGACCCACAGGCTCTCTATGCACAGCTACTTCCCATTCTGGTAGCAGCAATGTCACACACTGGGGGCTGAGCTGTTTGTGGTCTCAGCCATGGAAGGGTTTTGCCTCAAGAAGCAGTGGCTGCAGCTTTTTGGTCTGGCAGTTACTTCTGATCTCCATGGCAGATGATCAGCCCATGACAGCTGATTCCAGTCTAGTGTCCCTTCCCCACCCCAAGGGCTCTGTACTGCTGATGTCCAAGGAAACCCTTAAACAAAGGAAATATATTTGCCTGTGGCAATCTATAGTCATTATTTTTGACCTGATTAAAATCTCTCCTCTGGATGACTGATGCATCCTAGGGCCAGCTAAGTGGATGCTGGTGCTAGACCCAGCATTGCTGCAACAGCAAGTGATTTATACACATAATGAGTTCGTGTTTCGTGTTCTCTGAAAGCACTTGAACAGCCCACTCCTGCTCTCCTACCTCACTCCTCCTAAGTACTGGGAATTTTCTTATGAAAAGCTGAGGATCAGTGGGGGGAGGAATGCAATCAATAACTGGAGGGGTGCTCATGCAAGAGCAGAGTTGTTTTCTTTTGGAGGTGTATCACCATAGGAACGTTCTAGGGTGCACAAAGGTCACGGTTTGAGCCACCATAGAATCATGCATTGGAGCTGAAATTTGAGGTTAAGGTCCAAAACCTGCATGCAAAATTATTGTTTTTTCCTTTTAAAGTACAAAAGCAAAACATCCCTTTTCACTCCCTTCATGACTCCACAGAGCAGTCATGTGGAAGAACATTCTCCCATACTCAGAGTGCTAGCACAGACCTGCCAAGGGTTGGTGAGGAGCTGGGAATGGGCACTACTGCAATCCTAAGGAATAACATTTTGGCTGTTCCTGTCTCCTGGAGGCACAGAGCCAGGTCTCGGGAGGAAGGGCGTAAAACACGGCGAAGACACTCCTGGCACCATTCAAAGATCACGGCAAAGAGAAGCTCCTCTGCTGAGGTTCAGGCCAGTCAAAAAGCCAGCCAAACCCTCCCACTCTACAGCTTCCTGTCTTCTAAGGAAGTAGTAAGTATTACACACTGTCCTTCTTTGCTTGAACTAGCCAGAGGAATCTGGGCAAGAACTCTGATATGAAATTTTTATAACTCAATTATAGTGATGTTAGACAAACCTGGTTAAACCGTATTATTAATTCATGGTGCTGTTTTCCAATGTATGTAAAGTCATTCCTTCCTTCAGCACTTTCACACCAAGGGTGGGGCTGGAGAGGGGGAAAACTTGCAAAGTCTTTAGCCTATGAATAATGAATTGAGGACGTTTAACAAAAAGAAAAAAAAAAAAAGAAAAAAAAGTGGCCTCCAGAAATTATATTTTAGAGGGAAGAGTTTGTTATGCAGTCTTTGCTCAGCTGGATGTGAACTTCATTCACTGGTCTTAACATCCAGAAGTTTAGTCCTTCAGGCTGAAAAAGGGTATAAAACATATACAAAAGGAACATTTACATTTCATGAGCTGGTAACTATTGGCATGGGATGTTTTCTGACTATCAGGATCCTTCTAGGATCACTGTTCCTCTGGACTGACAAGCCCAGGGGCCAAATTTGGAATTTATGAGCAGCCCTCATTGATGCTAATGGGAACTGCCTGTGCATCTGAGGGTAAAATCAGGCTCAGTGCCTTGGGATGTTTTTCCATATACACAGAAAGAGATGATATAATACATGAATTGAGGGAGCAGGAGACGGAGAGAAATATTAGACAGAGATTGATATCAGTCTTCCTTTTCTGAGGCATGTTTCCCCTTTGGTCCTGGCAGCAGTAAAGCAGAGGTGTGATGCCCTGACTGTGGTGTTGGTATCAGATAGGCACTCTGGAGAGAGAACTTGCTACATAGGACTGGAGGTAGTGCAGGATCTGATAGTCCACATGTGGATGTGTAATGCTAGAGGTGTTTTGAGTACAGAGTCCTCCAAGCCCCGAAGTTGTTTTCTCCTTTGGGCCCAGTCATCAGTTGGAAATAGCTCAGGCACACGCAGGAGCTACATCAGATAGGAGAGCGATGGTGCCAGCAAGAGGAGAGACTCTACCCACTCACCCACACAGACAGCGTGCTGATCAAAATACCCAGGGATTGTACGTGGGTACAGACAGGCACAAGCTGTCTCTCAACATTATAGATATGCATATTTGCTCTCCTTATAGAGCGTGTGGGGCCATGTGAGTCAGTGCTTGTACAGCCTTATAAGGCAGCGTGGAGAGCAGAACCTCACACCACGCGCTGATGTGTGCACGCACACGCAAAGGAAGAAAAACAAGGTATGCAGCTCATTGTCATGAACTGGGGGTGTTGCTGAGTTCAGAGCTCCTCCCCCCCCCCAAAAAAAAACCAACCAGCCAAAGACTCCATCATTTCACCAGGGTGTTGTTTAGCTCAAGCGGCGTATTTTTCATAAATGCTTTTGAGCCTAAGCCTAGTTTTTAATTAGTGCTAGGTTTCCTCTCTCGGAAGCCAGGCTCACTAAGTCCTTTAAGGCCAACTGCCAGCTGTTCTGTTTCCTGAGAAAGAGTAAACTCTAATTTAAAATTTTAAAAGCTTTAAAATGAGCTAAACTCAAGCATCCTGCACTCGCTTTTCCATTTGCTTCACTCGAGGTAAATGAGTGAAGCAAATGGAAAATCTGCAGGGAAGGGAAGGACAAGAGCTTGATAGTTCCGGATGCAGGGGGTGGATGCAAAGTAAAAGTCATCAGGATACTCCTGTGTTCTTTCTAGTAAGGGTTAATAACTTAGGCAAATATTTTAATGACTAAAAGGCATAATGACTGATGAAAGCCACTACTGTCCTCCTGTCCCCAAAAGAAGTACATTCTCTTGGGACACCATTCAAGAGCACATTTAAGCACTTGTTCAAATTTAAGCCCCTGGTTAAGAGCTGCCCCTGAAATTTTGCTGAATAAGGTCATTAAATATCATGTACTCCAAACTGGCAAGGGAAAAATGGAATGGGAACCTTTAGTCTCATTTATTAATGACTATACACAACCCTTTGATGCCTTTCCTTTTCATGAGTTAAATGGTTGCTCTATAATAAGCTTCGTTCTGTCAGACTTTGAGAGCAGCCTGAAATGAAAATGTCCTCTTGCAGACTATGTTGATCACATATTAAAAAAAAAATTAAAAAAATAAAAGATTTTGTGAAAAAGTTCAAAATTAGAATTCAAAAATGCAATGTTTCAGTCCCATGTGAGAGTTGGTATGTTACACTCCTTATCCTTCCATCTGGCCTGGGCTTCCAAACCAAACCATCCTTACCTGGGAGATGCACTATCATATTTCCAAAGGAAAGGGATGGTCCAAGGAGGATCAGGGAAAATAAAACCACAGAGATACAGGGAAGTACAAGGTAATCTATAGCATTTCCAAAACAAAGGTTTTTCTTTTCAAGATGTTTTTTTTTTTCCTACATTGTTTTGCTTCTGAAAATTTTTGAAGTGTTTTGTGGTAAATTCTGCTATCCTCTCCACCCTATTTGTCTTCATTCCTTTGTAATGAAACAGCCACAATTTCTAACTGGGTCTGCCTGGAACTGCTGGGGGATAAAGCACACAAAACAATGCCCTGCCTATGCATCTACCTTGCTGCTTCCTTCCCTCTTTATGCAAAAGCTGATGCACCCACACATGCATGTACACATGCAGAAACACCTCAAAGTTCCCTGCTGCTTTTCTTTTTGGCAGTGAATTTCCAAGCTTCTCCCTCTCCTTTAATCCCGTGCAGCCGCAATGGCACCTATGGAGAGCAGGACTGTGGGTCTGTGCCTCAGCAGGCACAGAGAAGCTGTGGGCAATGTGCAGCACTTATTTGTGTACAGAATACCCCTGCCCAGCTGCAGGCACTTTATCCCACACCGACACAGATGGATGACTGTGCCACTGTGCTTTCCTTTAGCAGTGCAATATAAATACCTGCAGGGCACAGATCTAATTGCCTTTGTTGTTGCTGATGAAGATAACTGCACCGTGCATACACTTTCCTTGCCAGCTCCTTTGCTTTCACTGTAACTCATTTGTGATGCCACAAATTATCACAGGCTTGAGCCAGATTTCCAGTGAAGCTCAGTGGGGTACAGCTGGTCCAAATGATGCTGTTTGTCTTTGTGCTTGTGTCTGCAGGAAGGTAGAATGGGAAAATGCTGTGCAGGGACTCAGACAAAGTGTGCTGGAAGGCTGAGGAAACCTTATGGCAGACCTGCATATTGGCTTGCTGCTGCCATTTTCTAGCCTGGGTTTTGGCTTACATAGGAAAAACTATTCTTCTGAGTGTTAGGCAGCATGTTTTTGACAGCAAACAGGGCCCTTCAAGAGCAGAAAGGCAAAACCTTCTATAAATATGGAAGTTCTCTTTTTTTTCTTTTCTCATTTCCCCTCCAAGCCGGGGGACTGAGGTTACCCCTGGTTATTGTCTAACAAATCCACAGCTCAGTGCTGGGAGCAGCAGCTGTGGGGAAAGGATGGGTGTCTGTATCCACTGAAGGGCTGGGCTGTGCACCAGCTATTGAAAAGAGGTGGTGGAAGACAAGCCCTTGCTCCAAAGCAGTGCCAGCCTGGCTCAAGCTGAGGTGGGGATACAATGCCCACACTGCAGCAGGCTAAAAAGATCCTTGAAAAGAAGGATTGTCATTCTCTGGAGTTTACCCCAGCAATGTATTGGTGAGCCAGGCTGCTCAGCAGTGTCACCATCCAGCCTCAAATAAGCCAAGCTCAGGGCTTGCAGGGACAGCTGTGACATTGCCTCCCTGCTCTGTGACTCAGCCCTTGTGGTACAGAAAGCCTCACCCTGAACACAGCCAAAAAAGGGGGATTTTCCCACTCGGTGTTCCTCCAGTCAGGGACTCTTAACTCTGCAAAAAGGGGTTCTACTGAATTGCTGCAGAACTTCTGTTTTTTGTACTCAATCAGAAGTTGCCTTTTCAGCTGGGGTAGGCTCTCAGCAGAGGTGAGGCCATTTCCCCCGAGCTCTGGCAGGTGGAGGAGCCCCAGCAGGTGCTGTCCCTGTGCCGGCGGCTCTGGCAGATGTTGGCCAGGCCCTCGCCGAGAGCGGGGCTCACCAGGGTCACCAACACAAGTGTTTCACTCCTTTCATTAGCACAGTGCCTAGAAAGAGAGAGAAAGGCAGACGTTATGCCCCTCTGAAAGAGAAATTAACTCCGCTTTGAAGTGAGTTGCAAAACAAGAGAAAAAAGACCCAGGGAAGAAATTCTGCAGCTCTGAGCGAGGCTGTGCCACTCTGCTGGCCCCGTATGGCTGAGACAAGGCATTGTCATCTCTGGCCCCAGGGCTGTTGGTGGCACAGTAAAGGGAACTGTTCAGTTTAATTGGAAGATGAGCAGTGATTGTATTTTTGTAACCTATTAGACTGCACTGCCTCTTGGCCTGGGATTGCACTTGGAATTAGAGTCTGGAATATGAGTGAGGGCCCCATTTCTGCTCCCCCTTCATCTTGATTAAATAATGATTTGAAACAAAAAATCCAATAAATACATATCCTGGGTTCCCTTGAGGGCAGCAGTATGTTCACTGCTGAAAGCTGGATGAAGCAAAGTTCGGTGAGATTATTTAATTACTTATTAGGGGTTGTGTGTGGGGGGAAATCCAAATGTTCACATAGAGAGAATTAGATTTGTGAAAGAGCAGGCTCTTTTAAGCCACCCTAGAAAAGTAAAAAGCCATTAGAATTCAGAATCACACAGAATGGTGTGATTCAATTGAGCTCTGTGCAGTGTTTTTAGATGTGGTACTCTGTTTCTGGGTGGCTGGCATGACTTTCAGAAACAGCAAAATGGGACCACAAGCAAAGCCAAGGTCATCCAGTGGGGGAAAATGGGGAATTGGTCTGAGCAGATGGGCACGCTAATCACCCTGAGCCTTGTCCTGGCTCTTGCTGCTGGGCACAACCTCCCCCAGAGCCTGCAGGCAGCCACTGGCTACAGCCTGGTGCCCCAGGGTGGTGGGGCTGAGCAGCTGCTGTGTCCCCCTGGCACCTCCCTTGCCCCACCCAGACCCTCCAGCCCTCACCCAGACTGTCAGCTCCATATTTCACTGATATCCACACCGCCTCTTCCCAGAGCGTTGCTGCCACAGATGTTGAACTACAAAGGAGCTTGTTGATCCTCCCGGTCATTTGACAGACTTTGTGATGTGCTGACAACAGTTGCTGCTTTGAAGGTAGATGTCAGCCAAGGCAGAGCAGAAGCAAGGATGCCAGGTCCCAGAGTCAGTCTGAAAAGCTGGTTTAGAAATGCCAAGAAACTGCTGTATTTCTTGGCAGAAATAACAGCCTTTCAGTTTAAACTGGGAAGGAACAGAAGGAAGGTATTTCTGTGTGTGATGCTGGTGTCAGTGTCCCTTGGAGCAGCTCTGTGCCCACTCCAAGCTCATCCAACCCCTGCAGCCAGGGAGTACCTCACATGCTGGTTTCATGCCTGTAAGTGAAACATGGTGAAAAGCTGGTTGTTTCTGTGTTAGGATTCAGCTTGAATGCAAACCAAACCCCATCTTTTAAGAAAATTATCTGGTAACATATTTGAAAGTGCAATACTGTATTTTCTGGAATGTGGCTAGGGAGAGTGCAGTGGTCCATAGCACAGAGGTCAGATCTCTTGGGGCTCTGGATGTGGCATCAAGGTTTGAGAAAGAACTGGTGAAAAGCAGAGCTGGCTATTTGGCTCCTTTAGGCTCCTGGGAAATTCCAGTTTCTGCTGGAGTAAGCAAGGACTGGTAGAGAATTGCTAGAGCTGAGAAGCAAGGAGCAGTTCCAGACACTGAAATGAGGACTTGCAATGTGAGTCTCCCCTCATTCCTAGTTGGGAACATTTGGGTGACGTTTCTTCTCTCTTCTGAGCTTCTGCATTGAAGGTGCAAGTTGGCTAATGAAGAAGGATCACTTCATTTCCCTTGTTTGCTCCTGGGGCTTCTGATTCCTCTGATCTGGGACTGAGCATCAATTAGAAGTTAGTGTGGGGTGGAGATGGGAGCTCCATTATGGATTTTCTGGGATGAACCAATCCCTTATCCCAGAAGCATTAGTGCTTCTTTCCCTGGCAACACAGAAAGTACTTGGAGATCCTCCAGCTCCAGGTGTTTTCAGAGCACCAGAGTATTGTGGTCATCCCTCTGCAGACTGTGCTGAGAGCTGCTGTGGGTGTTGGTAGCTCTGCTCTGGTTTCAGTTGCTGCTGGTTCAGCACCTGTGTCCGAGTCAGCTGTCCCTGTCCCAGTTAGCACCTTGAACTGGGCTGGGAGCAGCTCTCCCTGGGGACACAGATTGAATGCCACAGGCAGGAGCGTGGACATGGAGGCACCATCTGATAGGATGAAGGAGATCCATGTGAAACATGACACAGGCTGAGTCTGCAGCCCCTCTGAGCATGAAAAAGCCATCCAGTCCAGAGCTAAACTTTGCAAAGGGACTGGCCCTGTGCCTGCTGTGTGACAGCTGATCCAGGTCTCCTCTGCTGCCTGAGATAGCACCAACATTGCAATGTGGTTTTTTGGCTCAGAAGGCCCCAGATTGGTGAGGGCATGGCCTAGATCCCCAGTGTGGAGAGCATAGCGTAGATGGGGGCATTGTGTGCCCCAGAGCGTGGTGTGAGGGCATGTGCACGTGTTTGAGGGAGTATGGCTTGCTGGGAACACGTTTGGAGGACTGTCCTGAGTGGGGTGAGCCAGACCTGTGTGTCCACACCCTAAGAACCCTGCACCAAACCTCATGGGTGGGTTTGAGGAGAGTGGAGGCTCTGAGTGAAAGAGAAGGAGGCCACATGAGGGTGCAGATGTGTGCATTGGGCCCTCAGCCCATCGCAAGGGCAGATGTTAGCACTAACACAGCCTCATTCCCAGTGCTGCCACATTCCTGAGCTGGCTCAGGTAAACGCCAGTGCAGTTAAAAGTGAACTATAAAATACTGAAATGCTGTAAATCCCCTCGGTGGTGCTCAGGGTCCCAGAGAATAGCCCTGCCCAGGTCAGTCTATGTGAGTTTGAGGTCCTTGCTGTGTTCAGCAACCCAGCCAGGGTGTGGCTGGCCCCCTTGCAGAGGCTGGCAGGAGCAGGGCTGCCATCCCCTTCCCCACAGATCTCTGATACACAGCGTGGGGATATTTCTCCTCCTCTATTCTTTTGCTTCTAAGCTCACTCGAGTTCCCTTTGTCATTTCCATCCAGCCCAGGGGGATTCAGTGCAAGCTGCAGCTTTCAGCACAAGCCATCAGCCTCCAGGAACGGGCTGGACAGGCTAATTTAAAGCAGAAGGAAACAAAAATGAATAATAAGGGAGACAAGCGAGCAGACAAAAAGCAGTCATGAGATTTGCATAGAGGAGGCAGCAAACAGTTGGCAGTGTGGATTGAAGAGAGGGTTTATGTTTTTTTCATGTAATTTGAGACTCTAATGATGGACTTATGTTGCCCGCTCTTCCTTTTTTCTTACACCTTACCTACTAAAGGAGGAGTTCTTGATGGGTAAGTGGATGCTATCCGCAAGACACCAGGGAATTTATTAGAGGTCACTTGAGCGCATTAGCTGTATCTTCTTCAGGGGGTAAAAAGCACACAAAGAAGTATCTGTATACCTTTTATTTCCAAAGGGATTTTTCTTTTTCCCCCCTCACCCTCTTTTTTAATTTTATTTTTTTCTTTTGTTCTTTTTTTTTATTATTATTTCAAAGTGATAAGCTTATTTATTTGCCAGTTTTTGCTTTGTACAAAAGCCTTTAATTTTATTTGATTTGGGTTTTTGTTGCTTATTTTAGTGACATTGGTTCAGCCACTTTATTAAGGAAGCTTAAAAAAATTCACTCATCCAAGTTTTTGTTTCATTTCTGTTTTCTTTGCAAGGATTATTTAGGTTTTTTATATGTATGTGCCCCCTTTTTTTTTCCTTCCCTCTTTAAGGTTAAGTAAGGGCTTTGTCCTCTGTTACATTTTTTTTTTGTTGTTTAGTTAGTTATTTATTTTAATTCTTTGGTTGCCCACTTACTTTGTTGAACTCTTTTGTTTAACATGAACCGCATGCTGATACTCTTTGCATGATCTCTAAATCTTCCCGTTATTATAGCAGGGGGAAAATAAGTTTCTTCTTACTGTGGATTTCTTTTAGGGATATGTGCTTTTGTTTTCTTCTCCTTCTTTTTTTCTTTCTTTCTTACTTTGTTTCTTTCCTTTCCTTTCCTTTTGTTTCAGTGCATCATGATGGTAAAATTTCTGGGTTTATTTGAAAAAAAAAAAAAAAAAAAAAAAAAAAAAAGTAAAACCGAAAACAACCCCCAAAAACCATTCAAACAATGCCAAATGGCTTTTTTGCTTTCAGATCTCTCAGTCAGGGTCTTCTGCTGACCTCTTTACCAAAACAGACAGCCCGCCTGGCAACCTAGCCAGCCAGAATGGAGAGTATCATGAATATGACTCAGGAAACGATACTTCCTCCCCTCCCTCCACTCAAACGAGCTCATCCAGGTCAAAGGACAGCCAGGAGAAAAGAAGTCTAGTCCATGATGGCTTTGGCCATGCCTTCTCGTCCGGGAAGCCCAAACTGGCCAACAGCGATAACAGCTCTGATTCAGGAAATTCCTTCACCAGTTGCTTTTCCCAGACCAAGGGAACAGCTTTGGAAAATCTGTCTCCAGATGCCCAGGGACAAGACCGAAGGTCAGTGATTACCAGTAGCTGCTGCAGGCAGCCCAATACCTGGTACGTTGTTGCTCTGTGTCTCCTGCCCGCTGGCCAATTGCCGTGGTGAGCTGGCAGGGAGCTTTCTGTGCTCTGGAGGCAGGCAGGTACCAACCAGACCCACGGTCTTGCCAGTCTGGAGTCCAGAACCCAGCAAGGACCAGTTACTGTAGCCTGAAGAGGAAGATAAAACCCAGCCATCACATCCCTGGACATTGCTTGTGTCAGTGCTTTGGCATTGCTGTGGCTCATGCAGGGTTTGGGCCTGGGTCAGGCTGTGTTCACAGCACATCCCTGCTCACCTGGGCACGGCCATGTCAAAAAAGTCTCTGACCCTTTTGGGCACAATCTGAAAGGAGCATCTGGGGGTTGCCATGCTAATTCTCCCTCTCTGCCTACTGTGGGGAAGGGGAGTGGGGTTTGTTTCCACTAAGATCATTATGGGCTGTTCTTTCACCTGTCCAGTGAGCCAAATCCATCCCCCTTCCCCTTCCCAGCTCATCCAGCACAGCTCAGGATGCCAGGACAGCATCTCCTGCCAGTGGGGAGCACAAGGAGGGGCAAGTACTTGGCTGGCTGCAGGATGACACAGCAGCAGCTCTGCACTGGGGCCACAGAGCATCCAACCACCACCCAGTGCCACAAGCCATCTTCAGGAGAGGGGAGTAGCTGCCAGCCTCCATCACTGCCTCCCATTCCTGGGTTTGCCAGGGGATGTTGGGAATGAGGGTGCTGAAGCATGGTGGCTGGTACCCAGGGCTGTGCTCAGGCAGTGGTTGTAGGGAGCTCTTCCAGCTCAGGCCCTTGGGTCCTAAAGGCTGAAAGTTAGAGCCAGGACATAGTTTGGAGCACTGAATGTGACAGGAGGGAGCCAGGGTAATGGCTTTTAGTAAGAAGAAGCCTCGTTTTTCAGTCAGAGGGTAAAATTTTAGGTCTGTCTGTACTTTTCACATGGAGACTCCAGTGGGATAACTCTGCCTTCACATGGGTGGAGCTGGGATTGCAGCTGGCCCTGGCTGCTGGGAGGCTGCCTGGCTGCTGGGCTCTGACCCCAGTTCATTCCCAGAGCATATCTGGAAGAGGAGAAATTCACACAGCGCTGTCCAAAGGCAACAGTTCATGCCTGCTCAGTGCCCACTCATGCTGCTCCACAGCCAGGCTGGAGCACAGCCCTTGCCCTGCCATGCTCTGCCTTTCCCCTGCTCCAGCACTTTTCCCTTCACTCCCTGCCCAGGACCAGCACTGCTCACTGGCCTGACCACGCTCTGCCAGCCAGACACCTTTGGTGTGTTGGGCATGGGGCAGGTGAGCTGCTGCTTGTGCCATCCAAGAGCTCTTCCACACCTCTTCTCCCTGGCAGAGCCTGGAGGGTGAGCTCTTGGACTCTGGCCCACACACGTGGGCTCTTCTGCCACAGCAGCCTGGGGAGCTGAGAGGTCATTTTTTACCCCCAGTTAGGGAATGGAAGGATGGGAATTTTTATTTGCTGGAGCATGGCGCTCCCCTCAGCCAGGGACCAGTTCCAGTTGAGCCACAGCTTCAAAAAGCATCCAAATATATGTTCACAGAGCGTGCCTATCCTCATGTCTCAGTTCCTCAGAGGAGAAGAAGCGAAACTTCCTCCCCTCACCAGCCCACAGCTCCCCGCTCAGGCCTGGCTCCCGCAGCGACTCCTACACCAGCACGGGCAGGTCCTCCCCCGGCTCCAGCCGCTCCCGCTCCTCGCACCACAAGGCCTCTCCCAGGTACTCCCGAAGCAGGTCCTGCTCCTCGGGAAAGAGGTAAGGCCACCTGGAACGACTGTCTCTGTCACCCTGGGCAGGCTCCTTGCAGGGGGAGGTGTAAGAACTTGGGGGATGTCTGAGATGGACAAGGTTTGGGGTGAACTGGCCATGCAGAGCTGGTCTGAGACCCTGGAGAATGGGACATCTCTTCCCCCTCGTGATTTGGAGTAGTCTGGTACACCCTCACCCTCCAGCATCTTTAACTCTTTTTTGTTTTTTTCCTATCTCCAGGTCCTCCACACGTTCCCCCAGCTATTCCTCCAAATCCTGCAAAAAAAGTCCTGGGAGTAGAAGTTCAAGGCCTCGCCGGAGCCCCAGTTACTCCCGCTACAGCCGTAGCAGGTACAGCTACCTACTCATGTGGTATTCACTGTCCACTCACGTGTGGAACCTGCTGCCTCTCGCTCTCCCCATGCCTCCATCCCTGTCATGCTGCTGGGAGTGGTGGGCAGAGCCCGAGGCTCCCCCTGGGCCTGCCCACACAGCCAGCAGGCCCTGTCAGAGAGGGACCTGACTGCATCAGAGAAAGACACTCCACTTTTTAGAGTCACAGCTCTGACAGAGTTGTCAGGCCCAGGGAAGTGCCCCTGCTGTGAGGGCAGATGCCAGGTACCCTCAGGCTGGCACTCACAGCCTTGAAGAGGGAAATGCAGTCCAGGCACCTCTACTCCTGCCATACTCCATAGGAAACAGTCTCACAGTTCAACCCTAGAGATGCCTTTGGCAGGTTTTCCTGATAGCACCTGCGCTTCTGTGAACATTTTGCAACCTCAAAATCTTACATTCTCAGGGTCGTTTCTTGCAGGCTTTGACAGTCCCTGTGCTGGTGAGGAGAACATTTCCTGCATGCAGGGATCAGGCAGGTCCTTGACCTGTAACGTGTTGCTTTGCAGATGGCACTGAGCAGGGTGTATGAAATCAGCCACGCTGCACAGAAGGGCCTGTGCTGACGTGTATGGGAATTTAACAAAAGAGAAAACCATAGCAACACCGGCACTCCTTCTGGCGAGGCTTGCGGAGCCCTGCAGGGCTACCAGGCCCTTGGCTCACGTGGGGCCTTGCTGGCAGGGCTGTTCCTGCCAGCTCCAGCAGCACAGCCAGCAAGAGCTCAATACAGACCGTACCCACAGGCACAGGTCCCTGGGAGCCATCTTAGCTTGGCAGTGCAAAGCCACTGGAAGACTCTGCTGGAAGCCCTGGATGCAAGCAGTGGTGTCCAGTCTCTTTGTCCAGCTATGTCAGTGCTCAGGGGTGACGCCACCAGAGCGCTTAGAGTGTCCCTTTTGGAGCTGAGCATCCTCTGCTCACCTGTGCCTCCCCATCCCTGCGCCACCCCCAAAGCCCCCGCAGTGACGGTGCCCGTGCTGTGCCCTCCGCAGGGACCGCGAGCGGGAGCACAAGTACAGCTCCAGCGAGAAGGAGTCGCACCGGGAGCGGCAGCGGCGCCGTCGCTCCTATTCCCCCCTGAGGAAACGCCGGAGAGACTCTCCCAGCCACCTGGAAGCTCGGCGCATCACAAGGCAAGGGGATGCTGGCCCATCCTTTGGAGACAGGCTCAGCTGGCACTTCCCGGGGGGATGAGGGCTGACCTTGGGTCCCAGCCCTTGCCAGAGGAGGTTTCTCCGGGAGACCGGTTTCCCTGAGCCTGATCAGCAGGCCCTTCCACCCCTCCCCTAGAGCTTGGGGATTTCCAGCTGGAGGCAGAGGGAGGACGGAGAGGGTCTCAATTTACAATAGCTGAAGGAAAAAAGAAGATGAAGTCAGAGCAGGGACTCAGGTGCATTCCCTCACAGGCTTTTTATTTCACCCTGCCCTGTGGTAGATGTCCCACACTGGAGAGAGTCAACTATTGACTCTAATCTACATGCAGAGGACTCTTGGGGACAACATCAAGTAGTGCCCAGCAGACTGAACAGCTAATACATTCCCCAGGGCTGTGCGGGTGGGTGGTTTGAATCCCAAGGCTCTACCTGATCTCTTTTTCCTTTTAAACAAACGCAAACACATTTTTGGGAGTGTTGTGCAGAGTAAACAGTGCTTTTTAGACATTTTGGCAGCCAGTCTGTCCTTGCGTTGCTGGTAACCCACATCTCTCTGTCCCCACAGTGCCCGCAAACGCCCCATCCCCTACTACCGTCCCAGCCCCTCCTCCTCCAGCAGCGCCGGCAGCTATTCCTCCTGGTCCAGCAGCTTCAGCCGCTCCCCGAGCCGCAGCCGGAGCTACTCCAGCTACCGGACGAGCCGGAGCCGAAGCTGGAGCAGCAGCCGGAGCTCGGGCCCCAGGAGCAGCCGCAGCAGGAGCAGGAGCTATGACTCAGGAGCCAGCTCCGACAGCCTGCGTCGTTAGGGAGTGCCACTGCTGGCTGACAGCGGGTGCCGGCGTCACCGCCACATTCCTGGCATTCTCCGCTTCCTTCACACCTACCTGGCCATCGATAGCAATCATCCCCGATACTGACGTGGTGGCATTGCCGGGTCCCCCTTCCCCGGTTCGGAGTAAGAGTCCTGGATCAGTCCCAGCTCCCCAGGCCAGGCTGGAAGAAGGGTCGGTGCTTTATAGAGGGTCTGTCACGACAGACCTGCTCCATCCTCCCCGATGCTCCCATCTCCCCATTGCTACTGCTCTCCAAAGCACTACCAGCGGGTCCAAAGGCAAGATTCTGCTCCTTGCTCTTCTGACAAAGCAGGAAGCAATGAATTAACTTCTGTTGGAGAGACAGACCCAGCTGGGGAGGAGTTTGCTTCGGTGATGGGGGGGGATGGCTGTCCCCACCAAGGCAAATATCACATCCTTTGGGTCTCTCCTCCAGAGCTGCTGCCCACTCTGCAGAGAAAATACTTATTTTTTGCCAGTCAGCCAGTCCCTGCTATAATTAGAAGGCTAGAAATCCCTCCTGATGTACTTGCTGTGGGAAAAAAAAGGCTGTTTGCTCTTTCTCCTGCCCTTTCCTACCAGGTAGCAGCACCTTTTGCAGTGTTTTATCCCCCCAGCACTGAATAGCTTGCAAACCATCTGCTGAGGTCTGAAGCAGACCTGGGGCTGGTGAGGCACAAGGGACAGGGAAGGTGGTGCCGTGCTATGTTCCGAGGGCGAGGCCACATGTGGGAGACAGCGGCCATGGGCTTCCCTTCTCGGGGCAAGCCTCGGACAGTTTGGGTTTCGGTTCTTCAGGGACCATTGCTCTCAGAGTGCATTGCTGGTGGGGCCAGAGGGAGGTGCAGAGATAGCAGCTGTGGGGTGCAGTCAGAACACACAGGGTTAAAAGGGCATTGCAAGAGCCAGGGGACCCCAATTCCCCTTCCTCAAAACACGCAGCAATTTCAGGGAGGATTCCAGGCAATCGTTCCTCCTTGAGCCCCTCTGGCTGCCCCAGGGCAGGATCAGCAGCACAGGCTGCAGCAGGATGCACTGGTGCCCCAGTTTGTTACTGGGAGGCCAGAGCAGTGCAGGGGGACAGGAAGGGCCCCCCACTAATTGCCTGTTTTTCCAGGGAGCCACAGGCTGTCCTGGGCCCTGGGGTTTTGTCTCCCTGCCAGCCCAGCTGCCTGCGCAATTACTGTGTTTTGCCGGGTAACAAAGGCTTCTCCCAGCACAGGCTGAGCTGGTGCTGAGGAGTTTATTTCTCTTACAACACCTGGGTGCTTAGAGACGCTAATTTGGGCTTAAGACTTCCCTCCCTCCCTTTTTCCATCCCCTCCCCTTCCATCCTGCACGATTATTAACGAGTTTGGGCTTAATGAGTCAAGGAGGTGTGTGTTGTTTAAGTGTTACAGCAAAGGGCTGAGTGGAGCCACCATCTGCAGGAGAAGAGGGGGTGGAAAGGAATAGAACCCACCCCCCACCCCCCATCTACAGAATTACCTACAGGCCCCTGACAGCCAGAGAAGGGACAAAGCAGCAAGGGGAGGAGGCCATGAGCTGCTGTGGTGGAAGTGGATGATCACCTCAGCAAGCCCATAAATCTGTTATCTGTTGGAAAGGTACAGCAGCGCAGGCAGGGATTCCATCTGGGTGGTACAAGAGGAAGTTTTATGTCAGGGATCTCTTTCCCTGTGTCTTTCCTGGTGCTGGAAGAGGGACTTGTCCTGTGCCTTCAATGGCCAAAACTCTTTCCCAGACCCTCATTTCCCACCTTGCTTGCTGCAGGCAGTGTGAGGATGAGGGAGCTGGTATGGTTGGTGGCTTAGTGGGGATGTGTCCATCTTCTGGAAGGGCCCTTTCTAGGACACAAAGAGAAGCGCTCCTGGTAGGGCTGAGCAAATACTCCAGGGCTGTGGTTGAGGGATCAAAGACAGGATGGAGCTGCCTTCCCTCCTGTGCTGGCCCCAGCAGCTGCCCCTTGCCCACCTTCTGCAGCAAACTCCCTCATAAAAGGGCTGAAAACCTCGTGCTTCTTTCCCAAAGAGTCTCCCCAGTTTGATGCTGAAATACCCCATCCTTCTGCTCCCTGGAAAGATCCAAAGGCAGTGATGGGAACCCAGACCTCCCCAGCTCTACCAGTGCTTCAGGAGCAGTCTCCTGCCCCTTGGCACCCCGTAACGCACACGCGGAGCTGTAGCAAGGAAGCAGCGAGCCCGAAGATCCAAAACTAGGAAAGAAAAGAAGAGGGGCTTTGTGCAACTGATGTAAATACCAAACACTCTCTGGGGTCCTCGTGGCTGGGGACAGATGATGGAAGCACCACACGAGGGTTAGCAGCATCCACTCCCTGTGGGTCAGGAGATGACCCCGAGGGTTGTGTGGGGCTGATGGCAGCTCCTGCACTCGTCCAGCTGATCCCTACATCAAGGACTGCCTCTGCCTGCACAGTCTGTGGCAGCTAAACGCTCCTGGGGTTTCCCAAGCAGACTTGCATTGGAGTAAATCTCTTTAAATTATTTATTTATTTAACTAATTATTATTATTATTATTATTATTATTATTATTTTATTTTTAATTGTATGTCAGAATGGACCAGTATTTATTTATTCTAATTTCGCCCCCCCTCAACGTTAAGTTATTTTTGGATCTGTTTGTTTGTTCAAATGTATCCATGCCGCCGGTCTCGTGTAAAGGTTTACAGCTCTGGCCCCTCACGGTGAGGTGGCCGGAGGAGTGACAGTCACTCCTGCTGCCACCGTGTCCCTCTGCGCTCCCCGGAGCGGGGCGGAGAGCACGGCACGGACAAAGGGACGCAGGGCAGAGCTGCGTGTTTTCGTGTCGGAATCTCGGGTTTCTCACTAGATTTGCGCAGGAATGTGATGGGTGTGTGTGACACAGAAACGGGTCTAGGACGGGTGTAGGAGGTGACGGCGGGGGTCTGCTGGCCGGCCGAGCGCGGGGTGCTGGCAGTGCCACCGGGGAAGTGTCGCTGGCCGGGTGCCAGCTGGCCCCGCGCTGTTTGCCTTGGCTCCGCCGCCAGAGCTCAACCCGAAAGCCGGCTCTCCGCAGCCACCGCCGCTTTCCCTGGGAGGATGCCGTCGCCAGGACTCCCCTGCCGTGTTTATCCCTGCGCCCTGACCCACCCATGGGAAAACAAAAGAGATGAGACTGTGAGAGACTGAACCCTGCGGAAAGTCCTTGCAAAATCCAGCCTCTGGTGACGGACCTGACCAAGTCTGTGTGTGTATGTGTGTATGTGCACATGTGGATGTACATGTGAGTTTCCCTCGGTGTTATTTATTTTTTAACTTATTTAATATTTTTAGTACAAGCTTTAGTACACCCTCCCTGTTAGTGTACAGACGGGGTTTCTGTGGGTTTGCGTGAAGCTGTGGGTTTTTCTGTCTCTGTGCCTTTTGCCAGTGCTTTTTTAATTTATTTTTTTAACATTATTTCTCTTATTCACTGCTTTTATGGATTTATGCTCTGCATCCAGCATCTCAGATTGCTGCAGGTGCTCTCTGCAAAGAGCAGGTTCACCTGGTGGAAAGGCAGCTTGGTCATTTTGGTGTTGGTGGCTCTCTGCTGTGGTCAGACACACAAGGGGTGTTCAGGGCTGGCCACGACATCAGGATAATATAATAATATTATTTTGGCTGTTTTTTGGAAGGCCTGTCTCACACTCAAAGGCTCTTTCCCTCCCATGATTTTGAATCACCCCACAAGCATCCCTGCTGCCTTTCCCTGGCAGCTCCCAATGTCTCCCTGACCCTGGAGATGTTGACTCTCCCCATTCACTGGGCCTGCCTTGGCTATGGGTTTGTCCCCACAAGGGACACTTGTCCCACCTCTCCCAACCCCAAGCTCCAGAAAATCCAACACCATTTCTGCAGGTTTGCTGGGAAGCAAGATGAGGGATGTTTCAAAGCACTATTCTGTTCTTTCTCCATTGGTTTCAGCACTCAGCTGAGCTTTGCTTTATGTTGACTGCAACCTTCTCAATGTTTTTGCTGTTTTGGGGACTGACTTTGTACCAAACTTGTCTGCAACAGCCAATCATCATTATTTTGCTATGCATTGTACATATATTGAACAGGCTGAGAGGACTTGGCCTCTATTTAATATTTATTTCTTCTATTTATTGAGCATTACTTTAAAAAAAACTATTTGGGTCACGCTGTTGGGTCCATGAAGGCAAGAGCCTTTGAAGTGTTGCCAGATATGTTGGAGAGAGGAAGGCAAATTTGGCTCATTTGGACCTCACCACCAGTACTTGGAGAGAAACCTCATCGTGATGGAGATGGGCAAGGCAGGAGAAACCTCTCCATCTCCTTGAACCAGCTTCTGTTGACAAATCACACCCCCCTGGAAAGGTGTGGGGAATTCAGAGGTAACAAGCCAGCTCTGGTGGAGGAATAACCCTGCTCCTCTTCCTCTGCCACGTGATATAGGGCTGCCATCACCAAAAATCCCTGGAGTTCTCTGATCTCCCACTGCTGATCTCCTCTTCCCTTTGGGGGGCAGGAACACCGGTCACACTTTGCATCAGTGATGAGGAAGGGGATAGGATGGAAGTGACTGGCCGTGGTCTCCACCAGGAAGCAAGGATGTCCACCCTGCCCCATCCTGAGACCCTCGTGCCATGTCCTGCTTCACCCCCTTCCCCAAGCTTTGTGCTTTGCCCTGATGTGAGCTCAGTAGCCGGGGCAGGACTGGGGAGGCCTCCCCTGTTGTCTCCAACATGAGCAGAGCTTGCTGCAGGCATCCTCCCCCAGCTTTGAGAAGAGCGTGAGATGTGCTAAAAATCCCACCCTGTCCCAGTGTCGCTCCACCAACGCCGCAGCCGCTGCTCTGCTCCCTCGGGCGGGAGGTGTTTGTGCTCAGCAGCAGGAGAGTGCCCAGCGCTGGGCTGTTCCCACAGAGCTCACTGGGAGCTGCTGCGTGCTCAGGCTCTCAGGGTATTGCTTTGAGAAAGGGGAAGGTTC